AGATAGATAGATAAATAGATATTTAGCCAGTATACCCTGCGTTTAGTAAATATATAATATCAGCATTCCTATTACATGCTGTGTCCAATCATATTGAACCAGTCTGTCAAAACTCAGCACAGCCTTTGCCCTAGCCCCACAATTCTGTTCTAGCTCTGCTTAAGCCATCTTCTTAAGCAGTACAACAACACCATGTAGCCTTGGAATGTCCTTGGTAAGCCAGATACTTACTCTGCATTGAATTACAGAGTCAAGTGTCATGTTCTTTTTGCTTCAGGTGGCCCTTAGGTTGCCATTCTGTTTATGCAATGCAGTTTATTATTCTCTAATATCAATGTATGTTTGTGTGTATGCAAGGTGAGTGTGTTATATGACATTAAAGTAAAATTAATTTGCAGTCAACAGTATTTGATTCTCTGGAGAACATATTGTTATAAACTTTTGGTAAAAAATATCCTATGAAGAATGTTTACATTTCTTTAACCTTTTTGAAAGCACAAAAAAAAAGAACAGTCATAAAGATTTAAAACAACATGTGATACCTTTAAGTGAACATTTGCTTTAACTAAACAGTTTTTATATCTCAGGAAGCAATACTCTTGTCCATAAAGTAACAGAGGTGTTTAGAGATAAAGTCTTAGAAGAACATATTCAAAAATAACAAATTAAATTGTAGAATTATCAATCTTTAATACTTGATTTATTTAATTATCTTAAGTCATAAGTCTCATATGTCTTACCTCTTTTACATTTGGCATGGGGTTGAATCCACACTGATTGCAGACAGTTGTTTTGCACTCTGTGCAGCTGCTGTAGTTGGGAGGATCCTTCGAGCCAACATTGAGGACTTGCTTGCAAATAGGACAACTGGATTGGCCCATACTGGGGGAATTGAGGGATGATGTTGCTGCCTTTGAAATCTCTACAGAGGATTTTTCTGCTTTCTGTCCCGCCGAATGGGTCTTTGCCTCTCGAGATTGCTGCTGTTTCTTTTCCAGTTCAGACTTTTCATCGGAAAGCATTTTAGAGTCCTTTGTGGGCTGCCTTTTGGGAGAAACTGGTGGTGTCGTTTTGGGTTCATCTTGAACAGTTGAGCCTATTAAAGTAGATGCAGAACTAAAAAGAGAAGAACCAAAGCCAAACATCTTCCCAGTCACTGACTCATCTGCTTTTGAGGATTCATTTTTAGCACCACCAGTAAAGCCAAATAAACCTCCAGACATTTTCGGTGAAGCTGGAGGGACAATTTTTTGAGGTTGGCCAGGTTGAGCACTTGGACGCAGTTTTGGAGACCCCGTTGTCCTCTGAGTCTCTGGTGTAGTTTTCTGAGCTTGACCAACACTGGCTTGATTTGGATTTTCTGGTCCCTTGGGAGGTATATCCTTAGCTGGCACATTTATTGGTTTAGACAGCACCTTCTGTGATGAATCTGGTCCTGAAATGTCTTTTTTTCTAGCTTCACCTGGTGATGGTGTCCGGCTTTGAGGACCAGGCCCTGCTTTTAGAGGTGTTTGGGTGGGAGGTCCTGGTGGCTCTGAAGTTCCTTGAGCTCTCTGTATTTGGCAGGTAAGGCAAAGCCATTCACGACCCTAAACAAAAAAAGACTCTTAGATTCTGCTAAATATGTACATTAAAGAAAAAAAAAATCTTTATGAAATATACTGTTAAAGCTTATTCTAAATAAATTGTTAAACAAGGGATGTCAATAAAAGGGATGTCAATAAAAAAAATTTCTTTTTAATTTTCATAACAAATTTAGTACCTGATCTTCAAAGGTTCCAAATAACGAGACTACATAGATTTAAAAAAATCCCATCCCATGAGTTAGTGTGTTGCTGGTGAGCTACAAAGATTCTTTGTAGATCACCTGCAACTTATAAGACACCCAACTGGTTAGATTCCACCCCCTTTAAATAAGTGAATTGCATGTGCAACTGGTGGAAAGTGTACGTAAGAAAAAGATAAAGTTCTTCTGTGGAATTGGAGGAAATAATGTCTGAATAATGTAAAAAATAGTAATGATAACAATGACATACATGTAAAAGTAACCGTAAAAGTTAAAGATATATCCCTTGTAGTACCACTGGCAGATGGCTAGAGGTGAGTATTGGCATGAGTGTTGCGATTCGATACATGTCGCAATACTTGGATCACGATACGATATTATCACGATATTGCAGTATCACTATATATTGCCATATTTTCCCCAGCTATCAAAATCAAATGATGAGATAAAACAGCAAGAGCTGTATATTTTCATCAGAAAATATTGATTAGGTATTATTATCCATGTTGTTTGGGGTTTTCTTCCACTGTGAATGCCTCAAATACAGATTTGGTGCTGCACGCACAGTTAAAGGGCTCCCCAGCGCTTTCTGCCAGAGTGGTGGTGCAAAGGTAGCCCATTTTCCCATCAATGTTTTTTGTAACCATTTTTTTTTTTTGAAAATCGATGCTAAGAAGTGAAAGATCGATATTATATTGGGCAGCCGAATATCACGATATATCGCCAAAACGATTATTTCCCACACCCCTACAGATGGCATAAGGTGTAATCATTCCATCGTTGCCAGGTTAAGCGGGAAAAGAGCTGACCTGGCAACTTACTGCCATGAATTTGCATGTGTGAAAGGTTCTAATTCTTGTTCGACCACGTAATTTGGTACTAGTGAATAGTGCCTGCATGAATAACTATTTTATTTGTTTATCTTCATTTGCCAGATAATAGAACCACGTATAACCAATGAACCACTCTGCACATTATCCCCCATCCAAAGTTGGTATCGCCCTACCAGCCTACTGAGCCTTGTTGCCTTCACTGTTTGCTGTACTTTTGATATAGTCATTAGTAGGAGTGAAGAGTACCAAACAAACTCTTAAAAAAGAGGAAACAACTGAAAAAAAAAGTAAATATACATATAGTTTAGTTAGCTAATGATTTGTTGACTAAATGCACCGCTATTGTACGACTTTAGCTGCATACAGGCAGGCTTAATTCTGGTGCATGTAGTTAGCCAAGAGAGGCAGTGTGTTGTTATAAAATGTAGAACTTTTATTTATTACAAATTTCTATTTCTTTATTTTTTCACATAAATAGCATTTGTCTGTAGAGAGAAGGCTTTATTAGAAGCTGTGTCACATACTGTGGGCTAAAACTTAAACTGCTCAGCAGGAAAAAGTCTTTGCATTGAACTGTTTTACATTGAACACAGAGCTGATAAGGACAGCTAAAAAGCAATGAGTTGCGAGGACAAGCAGTGCAATTGGCCTTCCCTGTGCTTCACAGTGGTGCAGTGGGCATCCTTGTGTGGTTAATGGTCCTATACCAACTTCTTTCATTTTTTTTCTAAAACTACAAGGGTAGGAACTTGTCTACAGGAATGTTATAAATTAAGCTCAACTTGATCAAGTCTGTCTCTCTGGAAGCCTCTCATTGTTCACACATCAGTGGTGTTGAAAACATACAGACTGCAGGGATAACTTTTCACCTTTTATTAAAGTCATTGATTAGGAATGATTATAACCGGTAAAACCAATTGCTTTTGACCCCCTCCTGACATACCTGTTAGGTTTATTAGCATCTCTAAATTGTTTTTGCGTATGATTTTTTTTTTTTTGTTACTTTCTTCTTAATTAACTATCCTCTGATGACAAAAAACACACCTAAGACTATGTTAACATATCATCATAATAAATTTAAAAAACAACTCATAAGTAGCTACTGTATGAACTTCTAAACAACCAAATTTTTGATAAACCCTTATTGGCACGGTATGCAGGGCTTTACTATTATTTTTTTCTTTTTTTATCATTCTGTTAAGATTTCTCCCCCCCTTTAAATCATGTCATGGCTTCCCTCACTGTAGTCTAGATTTATATTATTCTGTTTCTTCTCATCTGTAGTAAAACAAAACAGATTCCAGCCCTATTTTTTTTTAACCTACTCCTTGATGACACAAATGCCTTCCTAGCACAAACTAAACCTTTATCACAACAAGGATCAGCTTAGATAAAGCTAAATTAATCAATTCACAGATCCTATAATGTCACAGGACGACTTCCTGTCAGGGGTGATAAGATCAGGTTCTGCTCTTTCATTTAAAGGCTGCACATTGTGCTGTGCTCTTCTACTCTGACTGTAACTTTAAGGGCAGCCGTAAATAAAAAGGAAGAAAAGAATCTCAGCTGCAAAAGAAAAACTTTGACCATGAAATTTTTACCTCAAATTTAACTCAAATCTTTACAGTACTGTGAATAGTGATGCATGCATCACATTCATAAAGCAATGTTTATTGCAAATATCTAACAATCTATTTTAATCTAAATTGTCGGTAACTATTTAATAAATCTTATTACTTCATGGCCATAAGAAACATGTGTTGCTAATTTGTTGTTCAGTCTTGTCCATTTAGATCATTTGGAGCGTCTGATAGTTGTATCATTCCTTGAACATTTGTTTCTGAATATAGATAAACAGAGGAGATTTCATTTCGGTATGCCTCTTTTCTCAGTTTTGTCTTAATTATTTAGAAGAAAAAATAGAGTACTCAACATAAGATGAATCTGAGACTTTTTCCTGTATTAGGTGCTCCGACTTATACGTATATAGTGGTCTTTGACTATGGTGTGGCTGTTGTAGGTTAAAATCCTGGCTTTCTGACCCTCTGTTGAAGGTATCTCACTAACTCCTCCCTAAAAAAGCTACTACAGAAAAAGTCTAATTTCTGCCTCATGTTAAGTCCTCTAATTTACCTTCAAAATAATTATGATATGATTGAGAACAGATACCATAATGAGATCTCATCTGTTTATCCCAGTTCTTAAGTATTGCTGGTTTTCTGAGCTCAATGTCTTTATATCTTGGTAATGTCTTTTTAGCTTATCTCTTGCTCCTAAGGGTCTCTTAGCAGAAGTGATTCAGAAACAAATGTTCACCAGATAATACAACTATGAGGCGCTCACTATGATTTCAAGAGATGAGACTGAATGACAGGCTAAAACCACATTTTTCCAATGGATTTTTCTCTGTATGTGAAAACAAGTTTGCACATTTTCTTATATACACAACCGTTTTGAAGATCAGGCACTTTGTTTATTTCAAACCATATGAAAAAAAAACAAATCTTTAATCCTATTATTATCATCATCAAAAAGTTTCATTCATTTTAAATGGAACAAAATATGCAAAGAAACAAAAAGAAAAATGTAAAAGCAGCAATGAGATACTGTGCTCTGCCCACTATGATTTTGCTGTAATATTAAATAGAAAATAAAATTAGTACTTACATCAGCGCCTGGAGGACTGAAGCCACATAAGCTGCACACCTCAGTTTTACACTGTGTACAGGTTTTATAGTTGGGTGGATCCTTGGTATGGATATTAAGTTTGGTTGTGTTACATACAGAGCAAAGCAGATGAGTAATTGCTTTTGATGGAGCTCCGGCTTTGGTCGCTCCCAAAGGTGGAGACCCTACAGGTGTCACTTCAGTTGTGCCTTGTCCCTTTATGTTGTGTTTTTTATCAGAGATTGGATTCCGGCCCCCTTTCTGTCCCATCTCAGGTGACGCTGGAAGTCTAGTTTTCGGTGAGGACTGCTGTTGACTTGCTAACTCTGACTCAGACTTTGTGGGCCCCTGTTTCTCAGTCTTTACAGGTTCTTGCCTTGGTGTGCCACTCTTAGCTGGATCCCGTTGCTCTGTCATCCTGGGTGGAACCTGTTTTGGGGAATCTGGTTGTGCTAAACTCTTTTTCTGAACTTGCTGTTGAACTCCAGGCTTGGGTGAACCCTGCTGTTGTTGATCTTTAGCTTGTTGTCCTGCAGGTTTGTTTGTCGGGGGGGCAGTCTGTCCCTTTTCATGAACTTGTGGTAGTCCCTGTTTAGCATGAGGCTGGGACTTTTGCATAGGGGGACCCTGGATGGATTTTTGGGGTACCTGCTCCTGTTTATTATCCTTACCAGGGCCTGGTCCAGGTTGTGGTTCACTCGATGGTTTCCTCCCCAGGTTAGGAGGAGGCTTTTTGTCCCCCTCTCCATCATCTCCAAACAAACCAAATTTATTCACAGCAGAAGACATAGCATTCAGGGGGTTTGCCCCACTGAGAAATTTGGAGGAGAACATGGTTGGGTCAGCTTCTTCTGTTTCCTCCGTCTCCTCCTCACTGGAACTGGAGTCTATTGGGCTGTCAGAGTCAGAGCAGGAGCTTTCCCCTCTTTGTCCCAGCTCTCCAGCACAGGCCTGGGCTGGAGCAGCACCTGAGGAGAGGGCATCTACAGCCTTTCTGCTGGTGCTGCTACAACTGCTGCTGCTGGTGCTGCTACCAGGACTCTCCTCTGGGTCAGCATCTACGTCAGACTTCCTAAATGCAGAGCAGACAAATAGAAATGAAGTGTGAAATTACAAAGAGAGGGGGGGAGATCACAAATGTCTTAAAAACCTGAACCATATTCACATTTCACACTTGTTCTGAGCCCCTACGATGCTATCAGCAAAGCAAAAACAGCATAGAAACTTTAAAGGGAAACTTCATGAGAGGGAAAAATCAAATAACCAATACTGATTAAAGAATAGGGCTTTTTGTTCAGATGACTGCATTTTACTTTGTAGACCAATAAGGCATAACATCATAACTTCCTTTGAAGACCATATAACATTTTTTTTTAATCCTGATTGGTTATGACTTATCAGCTTCAAACCTACCAACCAAAGATATTCTCTCTATTCTGACACAGAGCATGCAGTAGCATATAAAAATCAGACCATACGGGTCTGCCTGTACTCCTCATGTACATCACAGCGCCATTATCTGGTTTCTGAAATGACCCCTTCAGAGCAGGTAACCCCCCAAAAAGATTTTTTTTTTTATTTCACGCAGTCATATAACCACCACCATTTAGTAATCATGAAAGTAATTAGAATCCTTTTTATTTTCCTCCCTCTAAATTAATTTCTGCATACTGCCAGTATTCCACCCACAAACAGGTGGTGAAGGGACAATCAGTGCTGTTTGTTTAAAAAACTTGGATATCATCATTGCATATAAACATAATATATATGTTTATACGAACAAAATGTCCTTTCCCTATAATCCTTTGTAAAGTGAAACTATGTTTTCAAATTATACCTCTACCTGATAAATTCCCTATCTGATTTTATTTCTGATTTAGTCTGTATCGACTGCTGTTCTCATCACCCTGGACTTTGCCTGAGCCGCTCGGGTGATCAAGCGTGATCTGTTTCCTGCAATGTAATAAATAGTAGGAAGAAAACCCCATTCTGATTGGTTCTTCTCCTGAAAGAATCTCATCATCCCAGCGGCGCTGATTGTCTAGGGAGGGAAATCTCATGCAGGACGTGCTTAGTACAAATAAACACGAGGATATCTAAGGCTCTCGCTCTATCTCTCTTTTTTTTTCTCTCTCTCTCTCATCTCTGCAGGCACATCCGGGTAGGGTCCCACCGATTTATGGATCTTACTTATTTCTCATATTTTAAATGTTTAAATACCAACAGCACGCATAAAAAAGAACATTAGAAGATGTGTAGGTGCGTGTGGGGAAGATGTCTCCCCTTAATGGATGATTTGATCTGTTTTAAGCCTGGCATTATGGCTGCTTTGCACTGCCCACAAGCAGCTATTAAGTGCGGATCTGATCTTATCATCAGTGTGAGAGAAAAAAAATAACAGCAAACATAATCATTCTGAATGAAACTAAACCATTGACAGGTCTATTTAAACAGTGCCTATAAACGCATTATCACATAATGCATATGCATTGACACCTGTTCAAATCAGCAAACTGTCTAAATGTTATTATAATTATATGAAGGTATTAAAGAAAAATAACAAGAAAAAAAAGAGGGCAATCCTTGTAAACGTTTTAATTTCCTTACATGCCATTAAGTATACGAGCGGTATCCCCCACCCCCCGCCTCCCATCCACCATCACCCTCCCATCCTGCAGCCAAGCATCCTTCACCCTCTACGGTCACAATGTCAAACGCTAAACGCGCAGCTGTTCCTCCCAGCTGTTCATCCCAGCTAAAGTGTACCTTCATCGGCAGCGGATCCGCTCCTCCATTATCCTCAGACCTCGTCGGATAACTCCCACTCCGTGTTAGTCCGTCTCAGCTAGAAGGATGGAGGGCACAGGGCAGCAGCAGTAGACTGAGCGCAAACAGAATCGCTCTCCGCCTCCCGCTAATGCGCATGCGCCACATCTGACAGCTGATCACAATATATATCACGCAAGAAAATCTGAATTAAAAGGGACAGACGATTCATTTCCACTGGATTCTGGTTTGACCGAGAGGGAAAAGCCGAAGGTCAAGTGTTTCATATTTATTTTTTTTTCTTACCGTGACTGTGGACAAATTTTAAAAGAGCATATTCTTTTGTTAAAAAAAGGATTGCCGAGTCACGAGAGCAACGTCAGAAATATTAACGTCACATTTAAAGCTTTTCCTCTTGGCTATCTAAAGGGCTCATTTCGTCATGTTTGAGAGTCACGACACCCTAAGATCTGAAGCAAAGGAATTTGGACCCAATGTGCATTTTTTTGTAAAAATAATGAAGAAAAG